ACACAAAAGGCATCACATTACAAATCTATTAGAAGCCTATATTATTGTTAATATCATTATCATTCTCTGACGCAAATACATTGCATTGAAGTAGCTAGACTGTCGGTTTATGCACATTAATTAATGGCACACCTATCCGAGAAGGAAGGTTAAGAAAAAAAGAAAGGTAGGAGGGGAAGAGAAGAAAATGGTCTTACAATAGAAAAGAGAGAGAAAGGGAAGAGGCAAACCGTTTAAAGTGAAAACGGAGTAAGGAATGAATAAAAGGAAGATTTAGCAGGGGGGGGGGATGAGTGTGAAAGTGAGAAAGAGAAATGGAGAGGAAAGGAGACTGAAAAAGGGAAAGGGGAGTGGGGGGAAGAAACACCTTTTTTTATGTGCGTGGATATCCAGGGTTCTGGTAGTATGTATCAATATATGTACATATGTATACAGTATATGTATGTATGTATGTGTATGTATATATATATATATTTATATTTATTCATAATCATACACATTTACATAGATTGATTTATATGTGTGTCTGTCACACACGCACAAGTGCACATATATGTGTATATATACGCATGTATATATATCGTGCACATATATGTATATATACACATGTATATGTATTGTGCACATATATCTGCATATATATGCATGTATGTGTATTTATATATATGTATATACAAACACATTTTTTTTTCTTCAATTTGTATAATGTAAAAAACAAAATAACTATACAATATATTCCCTGATTCTCCAATGCAAGTCTCCACTTTGCATGCACTATTGATCATCCACGGCCAGATGTTCTTACATATGAGGGGCACTCATTAAATATTTTCCCTGACTCACTTTCGCTTATACCTGGAAGCTGAACTTTCACATGCATAATAATACACATCTCTATAGGTCATGTGTTGCTTTTCAGTCCTTACTTCAAATTATGTTTTCTGTGACAGTGGAATTTGTAGAAGTCTTCAGGTTGTACTTGAAGCTGTGAAATTACTTCAGAAATCCGTGTCTTGTCATCCTAGAAACATTTGCCCTTCAAAATTACTTCATGGACTGAACTAGGTGAAAGTCAGAAGGTGCAAGGTCAGGAGAAGGAGGATGAGGAAAGATGTCATAGACACAGTATTGCGCTTCGATCTGGGCAATGTGAGAGTTGTGAATAGGGACAACGTTTTGTAGGAGCTAGATACCTTTGGTGAACATTTTGCACTTCTTGGTTTTCATAGCCTCTCCCAATTTCTGTAGTAGTGAAGCATAGAAAGCTCCTGCAAATGTAGTAGCTTTTGCCAAAAAAATCCATAATCGCGACTCCATGCTTGCCGAGGGTGTGACATTGCCCCTTTTTTTGTTTTGTTTGGACATTAGTTTCTGGATTATGATGATGGACTTGGATCTTGACATTATGGGGTAGCTGACGAACAGTAATACGGCGATCTTCCAAAATGACAGTTTCCCTTTGATGGATAGTGTACTCATCAGTGGCAGACTGGGGTCGCCCAGGGATAGGAGCCGTTTCCACAGATCTCAGACCACACCTGAACTGGCGATGTCAGTTATACTCCACTGGTTCCAAGTGCATACCTACTGCACCTTCACCACTGTAACAGAAATCAGCATGACCTATAGAGATGTGTATCATTAGGCATGTGAAATTTCAGCCTCCTAGGCGGAAATGGGTCGGGGAAGATCTTTAGTTGACCGCCTCTCGTTTAATTGTATTACAAAAAAAACAAAAAAAAACTCTGTCTTGATGAAAGATTATCAGAAATTACACTATTGGCAAAAGTTACAGCATGTTTCTAATTTTCAACTAGAACTTTAGCTTAAAAAATGCCCCTGAAATAGAAGATTTGATTGTCAAGGTTAACATTCTTGTAAAACAATAACAACAGCCTGAAAATATTTTCGTTTTATATTTTCTGTTTATTTCCCAAATATATGAAAAAGGTCATGCCAGTTAGGTCGGATTACTTGAATCACCTTTCAATGCGTGGTCATTTTTTCTTGAATGTATTATAACCTAAACTCCTCAATGGAGACATGACAAAAAAAAAGTATTGTGCAAAATCAATTTGAATGTCGAGAGAGAACGGATGAGGAAAATGAAAAAGAGCGAACAAAAATGCATCTTCATATATTCCTAAAAAATCATAAATAACTTTGCTTGAAATTACCTCCTTCGCTTGAGGGAAATTCATGTGACGGGAGAGCGTAATTTACCGTTTAAATCAGTTATGGTTTTCTTTCATATTAAATTCGGAAAAGGAAAAAAAGAAAAAAACTGCGCTTCTATATAACCACTTTCCTTTTTTATTACATAAGCACCACGTATCTGTATGTGTATGCAAATAAACAAAAGCTAATTATGTGAATATACATGCATGCACATATGTATGTGTGTGTGTGTGTGTGTGTGTGTGTGTGTGTGTGTGTGTGTGTGTGTGTGTGTGTGTGTGTGTGTGTGTGTGTGTGTGTGTGTGTGGTGTGTGCAGTATAT